GAGGGGACACGGGGGAGAGGGGACACGGGGGAAGGGAAAGGGCCGCGTACAAAGAGAAGGGCCCCCTCTGAGCAGCACAAACGAGGTTTTATTCGGAATTAGTATGAAATAAGTGCAAAATTTAACTTCTGCGGTTCTTATGGCACAGATGTTAACATGGTAATATCCCCGTTTTCACACTGATACAAAAAATAATACAAAACGACCCCTTTCCACCTCTATTCAGTGTGAACTTTGGTTCAACGCCATCAGGTCAGTCACACTGTCTGTATGACAGCCAAAAAAGCAAGGCCACTGCTTCACTCCCATATCAAAGTTATTCCTTGAAACAGAAATTCTGCATGGGATGACTCTGTAAAAATAGAACCCGGGATAAAAATTCCTAGTAAGCAGTTTGATTCTTTTGAGTCCTCCCCCGGAGAGGCAAAGACTTTTTCCAAGGTCGCTGCCAGCGCTGGGCTGCACCGAGCTCGCTCTGCAGCACAGCGTCAATCACAGCTCCTCACCCCAGGGACAGCAGAGGGCTGATCCTTCCAGGCTCCACTTCTCATCCTGTCTTCTTCCATAATGTTAAATATCACTGTGGCTTCTGAAAGATTATAGTAGTAACTCTGGGCAGAACTCAGAATAAACAGTTAACTTTTTCGGTGCAATGTTAAATATGGCCAAAAAAGAGCACTTTGCATTGCTCTGGATAAATTTCCATTTCACAGTCCTTCGGGATTGGATGCTGAAAACATACATTGCTGAATTGTTCCCAAAGTGCATGAGATGGTCGCTTGCTTAAGTATATGATTAAAAATGAATGTTTAATATGATGAAAAGTCTTCCAGATCACTTAAAAGTAACCATTCAAGAAAATAAACAGCCGCAAAAAAAAAAAAAAAAAAAAAAGCATACACTGGTTTTAGGACAAGCAGTAACAACTTTTTCTTTTTTTAAGAATAAAATTAATTTACAACATTACTTATCAAGAAAAATTTACATTTTATATCTATATACTTTACAAGATGCTCCAGATCTGTTATGTATTTCTAGGGGAGGTATATATTACAGAATTATTTGGCTGCATCATAAGGCAATCAGTGAAATACACTTTGTCCTGCAAGAAACCATTCATAGATGAGATCCAATCACATCATTATCTGCAGGCAATTCCAAACATTTCTGCTGACAGCAACCAAACTATGCTGTATCATCTTTATTAAAACGTGAAGAAATGTGCTTAAAAGAGAAAGGCGTAAACTTGTATCCTCCACCAGAGTAGAATTTTTTCTGAAATTCCACCCTGAAATGAGACCAAAAAAAACCAGAATCTGTGTATTAATCCAAAATGACCAGTTGTCAAGGGATACAGCTGTGCAACACAAGAGACTGAACAAAACCAATCCTAATCCTGCCACTTGTACTTTCTGTGCAGCTATTTAACCTTCCTATCACAGCCCCAGGCACATTTCATGTTTCTCAAGAGACCCAAATGCTCTGACATTGTGCTGTAATGGATCATTTCTCATTTTGGTCTGACTGATTTGTTTTCAAGCTAGTTGCAGTTAATTTTTTTGCAAATATACAATATCATGAGGACAATACTCTGTAATGCATATGGCTCTGTCTTGTGTTTATATACTGTATGTCTGCCTCTTCTTACACTGTAAATTTCATCAGGTTTCAAAATAAACATTCTCTGAATCCACCTGAATGTGCAGAGCTCATGATATTAAGACTAAGAAAGGATTAAAACACCTAAGGGCTGCCAGCCCCACTTTAGGAAAAGTTTTGCTCATGAATACAAATGTTCTGTTGAACCAAATAAATAAAATAGACTGAAGCCATTCAGTGATATAATCTGACTGAAATTAAAAATACTTATCCATGTTACTAATATTCTACAGTACAAAAAGCTGCAATACTGTAGATCAAATGTACTCACAGTTTGCACCAAAATCAACTCTGAATGTGGTTGAGGCTAATATGCATCATAAGCCAATATAATATTTTAATTTACTAAGAATATTCCAGAAGAACAATCACATTCAACTAACATTTAGCGTGATTAGATAAATCTATTACAGCAGCATTAGGCTGTTGAATTTTACATTTTTCTTTTTAATAAGGCACCTAATTTGACACAAAATTTCCTCTTAAGTCAGTATATGCTGAAGCGGTATTAAAAAAACCCCAAAGAGTTAAAACTTACCAGTGAAGTCGTATAGCATGGAGAAAAGCAGAAAGCCCCTCCATGACCAAAAGAATAAAAACTGTTAGTACAGCAAAAAAGGCTAGAACGGGGACTAGCAGTAAGACACCATACGTTGTATCCACACGAAGACCCACTCTCATCACCATTTGCCATAGAACTTCTGATAACTCTATTAAAAAAAAAAAGTTTTTGTAATTAATGTTGATGCTGCATACACTCATCCAGCGAGCTACTCTACCTGACCTGTATTCTGGTTTAAACAGCATGACAGGATCTGCTGAACATAGGAACTATCAGCAGTCCCCCGAAATACTTAAAGGTACATGTCGGTTTCAAAATAAGATCTAATGATGGGAACATTTTACACTATGACACTAAGACTTCAGGAAGTGCCTAAATACCTTTCAAACTGGTCAAGCAAGGCAAAATAGGAAATGGTGCTGTGACTACTGACACGCTATTGTGTGCGGTAACACCGTGCTCAGGTAACACGCCTCTTTACAACACAGAGCAGGCAATAAAGAAAATTACTAGATTCCAAACAAGAAGTCACAGTTTAGTTTGGGGGCTTTCCACAGATCATGATTAGTTTAACCTGCGTTTTTTTTAAATTAAGATAATTTCATAGTAGTATCACTTCAACAGGCCCATCTCCCTCTAACCAGCATTAAAAATCAATACAGGCAAAAAATAAAAACAACCAACCAAAAAAATCACCACTTACGTGCATGAGCAAGACTTAATGCCCAGAGTCTCAGATATGAGGCTGTATTAGAAATACATCCTAGACAGTATTCAATGGTATGAATTGCTTGATTCATAAAAACATCTGCAAAATTAAGCTAAAATATAAAAATACATTTGTATCTATTTAAACATAGTACAGCATGAGAGAACAAAACATTCATCTGCAAATCTTAATATACAAGGAAGAAAAATTCCATTAAAGGGTAATAGCTTGATTTCATATCAAGTAAAAAAAAGATCTGCTATGTTTAAGATCCTTGTTACAGAGACAATATAAAAAAAAAAAAAAATCAGATGCTATAGTTTTCCAGTTAGTTTCCCCAATTACTTTGTTGATAGACAAAAATTAATGCAATTTATGTTTTCCATGAGGAATATGATCTAGTGCTTGAAAGCTCTAAACCAGCCATGGTTCTAATTCCCATTCTGTTGAGGCTGGAAGTTCACAATGTCAATTTTTGCATCCTTAAAAGCAGGATTAATTATTAGTACTGCTAGTGACAGAAAAATAACTACATTAATACTGCGAACTCTAAATATATGTACTTGTTGCTAACAAAGAGTTCCAAGATTATTACTGCAAGTTTCAACACTTCTTGGCATGCAACTATGACACATTTTATTTAAGCAAACAATTCTTGTATTTTCTATACATAAGCAGCAAGAGTCTACTGCCCCAGTGAAGTACTATACATAGTCTGCACACTGGGAAACTGAAGCAACTTTTGTGTCTTTCAATTCACATGAAATCGGTGGAATCAAGTCAAGACCTTTAAAAATTTACGCAAACTGAACTGCAGCAGTAGCTGGGGACTAGGAATGCTGCCCATGTCTCCCAACCCCCATTAGCACTAACCCTCATCACAAGATGTAATCTGCAGACATAAAAAGACTTTTGTTTGGATAAAAAGTCAAGATTAATTAATAGGAAGCTGGGCAGTTGTGCTCTTGCCTTAAGAATCCATAAAACCACACAAAACCCAGGATTTTTATCCCACTCTTCAATTTAAGAAAACCCATAAAGGACTCTTCCTGTTCTCCACTACAGATAGATTGTAGCTTACTGTGGCAAACTGAATATACCAAGAAATAATGATAAAATAGCAACAAATGTCAATAAGGAAATCAAGGCATCAAGGTCTTTGTAAAGGCTCAGCTGATTTTCTTGAACACTTCCAGGGACTCAGTGTACAGGCTGTCCTCTTGATTTTCCACTTCTAATTTGCTTTTAAGGACATCCAAACTAGAGAGAAAGTAAAAAAATTACCTCCTCTCCATCCCCCTCTCTGTGCCCACTGTCTGCATGACTGCTTCCTTCTTCTACATCATGACATCTCAGCAGACAAAGTTCTTCTTCACTTTCTTTTCGAATTAGCTTGTAGCCACTCTGCAAAATGAAAATGTGTCATGTCTTCAAGTGGACTGCCGGTGTCATTTTAAAAATTTATTTAAAGCAGTCACAGGCAAAGGCAAAAAGAGAGCTAGAGGAACAAAGCACTATTACGTGTTACAGTCAAAAAATTTCCAAATTGAGTAAAAATATCTAGTAAGGACATTACTCTATATTCAATACAACAGCAGCTGAATTCTTCTATTCTGAAGAAATGTGCAAGTGTCTCTCAGTACTCACCCTGTACATTCTAATGCCTCGGCCTCCGCTCTGCAACCAGTATAAATAAAGCGGTTTACCAAAAAGCATTACAGGAACAGAAAGAAAAGCAATACTAAGTAAAAACTTCTGCAGAGCAATCTGTTTGAGGGAGAAAGAAAAAGTTGGATTAGATCACCAAAAAAAAAA